GGGACGTGCCAAGCTTTGGCAACATGAGAATCCCTCACTTGGCGTCCGCTTGCTTGTACCCATCTCTGAACAGAATTTCTCCTGTGAAGCCGAGGGACAGAGACGTCACCCCTGGTTTTTACAGGGTCGGGCACAGAGCGCACACTGATGTGTGTGGTGATGTCTGCCTACCCGTGCGTCTGGGGTTTTCACCAAGCAGAAGTCTAGGCAATGTGGAGAACGATAACCAATATATTAGGGAAACGCTTGTTCATAAATCAGATGAGTAGCCTTTCTCATTTATAATGTACAGTTGGATCATGATAAGAGCACCTGTTAGCTCTATGACAGGAAAAGGGTGTGACACCCACCTGTGAGTGGGGCAGAGAAGGAATGGGACCCTCTTGGAGCCCTCAACCTCAGGCTGGGACAGGTCCCCTACTGTGTGTGCACGGGTGTATATGTGTGTGTACATGCAGGCATGTATAGTTTATTACAGATATACACGCTCACATACACATGCGTGCCCATATGTATGTATCTGTGTATGTGTGTGCAAGAGGATATGTATCCTCTCACAGCAGTTTGGTAACAACGGTTAACTTTCCAGCTCTCTACTAAAAGTCTGTGAGGCTGATGGGAAGCGAGGGAGGGAGCTGGGTGGGAAGTGTGAGAGTGCACACTCTGCCAGGGCCAGGGGCAAGGGGACCAGGCAGGAGGTAGACAGCCAGGAGTCTGGAAAGTGCCAAGAGGCAGCAGGCCCAGGTTGCACCCAGCCAGGAAGCAGCAACCCCGTGGATCTGAAGAAGGGCAGCAGGAGTCACCAGAGGGCTGGATTTCCTCCGCCAACGGGTGGGTCAGTCACTGCGGAGGACTAGGAGAGGCAAAGCAGTGACCAGGAAAGGCTGGCCTACCAGGGATTCAGTTTCAGCCCAGCCAAAGTCTGGAGACGGCCCGCAAGCCCAGCAGGTTGGGATGACACAAGGGGAAGAGTTTCGGACACAGCTCCGTGACCTTCAGCACGTGCGGGGTTCCTACCAGTTTGCTCTAGACTGCTTCCTGTCTACAGGGATGGTGGACTCATCCATGATGCCCATCATGGGCTACCTGGTGGACCTTCGGCACGTGTCCGTCTATGGGAGCGTGTATGCTATAGCGGATGTGGCCTTCTGTATGGGATACGCCATAGGTAAGGGCCCTGGATTCTCAGAACACTTTGCCTCAGTGCATGATGGCTAATACTGATTAAAAGCGACTTGCATCTTTCTGTCCATGAGCCATTTGGAGACAGCTTTCTTTAATTCTCTGTTTCCTGTAAGGTCCTTCTGCTGGTGGGGCCATCGCCAAGACAATTGGATTTCCGTGGCTCATGACAATTATTGGAATTGTTAATATTCTTTTTGCTCCTCTCTGCTTTTTCCTTCGAAGTCCACCTGCCAAGGAAGAGAAAATGGTAAGGAAAATTGAGGATGTAATGAAGCATTTCTTCTTGTTCCCTTTAGCATGGTCTTCCAGGTAGATTCCTCGTGGTTTATTCTAACGAGTATTCCAGACATAAATGGTAAGAGTTCTGCTTGAGTTTGCATCACGTAGAGCAGTTACTTCTTTTATGATGGTGGGGACTGTATTTATGCATTTGAAGAGTGCAGTTAGTTTTGTATTTAAATTAGCGCACTCATAATAGTTTTGTTTTACTAATGAAATAAAAGCAAGGAGTAGTTTAATTCTGTTTCCTATGTTCTTGAAAATCTTAGGCACA